GAGGGCTGGAGCCCGCTCTTCATGCCCACCCTGGAAACGCAGCAGAAGGAGCTGTCTTTTTTCCGTCCCCCATCAGCTTCAGCCTGAGGGTAAAGCACTGACCCCAGAGCCGCCACAGATGTCCCTGCTCAGTGCTAGCTGTGTGGTGGCACAGGCTTTTGTCAACTGGGGAAACGTTTGGGAGGCTGAAACGGGAGTAAAATGTCTGACCTTTTAGTGCCCATGAAAATAAAACTGTCTCGGAGCTTTTTGGGGCTGCCAGCAAGCTGAGGGCGAGCTGGCGTGACGGGGGAGCCAGAGTTGCTGGGAGCGTTTCAAAGCCAGGCCATTCAGTGCTGGGCTGTGGTGGGATCATGGTGTTTCGGGAACAGAGAGCAATGGGGAAAGCTGTCCAAAAGCCATCCGGTCTGGGGGTCGGGAGGCTGGCATAGATTGCTTTGAATGCAGCAGGGCTGAACCAGGTGGCACTGAGCCAAGCCTGACCTAACCAGCTTATTTTCCTGCTTTCAGTAATGCCAGTACAAATGTGCCGAGGCCTGAAGGTCACGGCCACGTGAGCAAAGGTCCGGGGATTAGCTGTGGGCAGAGCGTGGCTCCTCCTGGGTGTGCCGTCGTAGCCTGAGCCCTGGGAATGACTGTGGCTCCCCTGTGTGCTGGAGCCAGCGCAGCATCGGCACCTTGGATGGGTGCTGGAGAAACACAGGGCCAGCTGGGAGCAGCACCTCCTGTACCTGGCACTTCTCTGAGTTCCAGGAAAATAGAAAAATGTTTGCTTGTCCCACATCAGCGCTGATTTTCCTTCTGGGTGTTGGTAACGCTGACCAGTGGGTTGCTTTTATGCATCAGTGTCTAGCTAAGCAACAGTGTCTAGCTCTGGTTTTGGAAGAAAGCCCAGCAGGTTTGCAAACTTCTGCAAGGCACCTGGTTTGGATGTGCCCACACCTCTGAAGGCCACAGGCCATGCTCAGTGGAGCATGCAGGGTCCCTCCTGGGTCACTGCTGTCCCTGTTGAAATAGAAGTTACTGACGTAGTGTGGTGCACAAGTGCATTTCTGTTAGAGCTGGGAGACAAGCTCCAGAAGCCTAATAGTAGATTAGGACATCACAACTGAATAGTAATGATGCATCTCTAGGCACTGATGTCAGACACGAAAGCAAAATGACATCTAACAGCATCCTCAGCACAACCATCTCTAGCCGCCTCTGCGTGGCTCTGACTTTGTAAAGTCCCATTTCCTTTCGGAGCGGTTTGGGTGCTCTCCCTGGGGGATGTGGAGGAGAAGGAGATGCGTGTGGGTGCTGTGGGACCTGGCCCAGCTCCTCCCCGTCCCAGGAGGCAGCTGGCAGCAATTCACAGGCCAAGTAATACTTGGGGCTCGCTCTGCACCGCATCTGTGGGAGACAGCCCGCAGGCTGCCGGACGCGCTCAGAGCAAGCCTGATGAAACTCCCCAGAAAGCCAAACTTTGCCTGTCCTAATGCAGTGCTCTGATTCCCATCCTCACTGTCCTGCAAGCCTGGGCAGGGCCCCATGCTGAGCCCATCAGGAAGAATTACTTAATCCAGCCCTGACAAGTGACACGTGAGTCCAGGAGTGGGTCCCTTCCCTCTAATCCCTCGCTGCCATCAGCCACCTTAGCACGCGCAGGGCAAAACAAGCAACACATGAGCAGATGGTGCCTTCTCCATCATCCCACCACCGCTTCAGCAGCCCCGAATAAAACTGCCCTGTTACCTTTTTGCCGTGAGCCGCCCCCATGGTCCGACGTGTCGGCTGTGCCCTGGTCACTGGGGTGTGGGACCAGTCGGTTCCCTGTGGTCACCGGTCCTGTTACTCCCGGGGGGACGCGTGGCCGTGCAGCTTCGGGGCCCTCAGTGGCCGCTGTGGGGAGACACGGGTGAAATCCAGCCTGTCTGCAGCGGGGCTGGGCGGGAAAGCTTGCTTTTCCTCCCTTCTCCCAGCACGTGGAGAACTCATTTTCTTCATGCACCTAACGGCTGGCTCGCGCCCAGGCTCTGCCCGGGCACAAAGGCAGCTTTCATGCTGCGGGTGCCCGGTTTCTAAGCTGGGATCCGTATTTTGAGAGGCTGTGGAAGATTACAGTAATTGCACTTGACAGGGCAAGATGTCACAGGACGCGGATTCGCCCGGCTGTGGGGCCCCGGCACCCATCGGTCCTCGCCTGTGGCATCCTTCCTAGCTGCTGCTTTGGTGCTTTGCCGAAATAAATCTGTACTCCAAAAACAAGGCAGGATTATCCCTTTGCTTCCTGCCTGCATCCTGGCTCTTGGCTCCTGTTGCAGCACTGGATTTTGCAAACTTTGCTCCTGCGGACGCCTGAGGCTGCCTGTTTGCTGCTGGAGCCCACCGTAGCCCCCAGGTGAGCCCAGGTTACCCGGAGCTGCGTCCTGGGAGGCCGGGCAGGTCAGGACTTGTGTTTGCTGAAGTCTCTGGGGGATGCGGCACGGTGAAAACTAGCCAGGTAGGTGCCTGTCTCTGCAGTAATATGGCTTTCAAAATGCCAAGGCACTAAAAAAACCTCATTTGGGGATTGCTGTCCCTGCACTCACCACCTTTTTCAGATCTTTTTAGAAAATGAGCAAGTTAAATTTGATTCCTGAAGCCATATTTATACTCCTGCCTCCCAGATTCTAGACTTTTGAAAAGCTCAGATTTACTTTTTGGGACACGGTGACTTTGGCAGGAATGGCTCTTTGAAACACGGGCTGATGATTAAGATCCCTGCACAGGAGTTGCGCTTTCAGCTCTCCCTATTTATTGAGAATAATGGTGTACCTTAGTAACTGCTCAGCGATAGACTCAGAGCTAGTTGTAACTGTCTGTAGTGTGCTGAAAAATAAATTTCCTTTATTTTGGCTTTAAACCAGATTTCTAATGTGCATTGCACAGGATGAGGAAGAGTTTCCTGCGGCTGAAAGGGGCTGGTTGTTTTTTGGGTTGTAGCTGATGCTGTGTGCTGGCTTACCCCATGCAGCCACCTTTACAGCTCTTAGGCTGTTTTCAGTTTGGCTTATGAGCAAATCTAGATCCTTTCAGGGGGCTTAAAATAGTTGGCATATTTATGCTGGCAGCATGGCAGGGCTGTGTGATGTGAAGGGCTGTTGTGTCTGTTGTGTTGTGTTATTTCTCGCTGCTGCCACGGGTAGGGATGATTCAGCGCTTGGGATTAACCGCTGCTGTTGCAGCAGATTTAGGGATCGATTTATGGCAGAGGCTTCTCTCAGTGCGATCAGGTGCACGCTAAGAGCGCAGGAGGATAAGCTGGGATAAAATACTACAGCTACCGGGGAATTCCTCTGTGGTGGGTGTTCGGGGGTTTTATTTCAGTTTTCCTTTCGGAAGTTCTTACAAGTGTTGCACAATTTATTTTGGGATTTTTCCTTGGTTAGGGAAAGCCAGTTGCCTCGCTGGTTTGGGATGGTGGTGCTGGGTTTTGGAGCCAGGGTTTCATCCCTAAGGTGGCTGATGCAGGACAGGCTGTGTCTCTTCCTAGCCTTATTCTGCCAACGCTCCTCACTTCTGCTCCCCTGGGGTGACCTGTGGGCTCAGATAACCAATGTGAGCTGCCTGTAGAAGCTGTGCTGGGGCAAACTCTGCTGTTAGAGGCAGAAAAGGCTGTCCAGGATTGCCTCGTGTTACCCTGCACAGCCCCAAGCCCTCCAGCAGAAATGCTCCACCCTCAGGTTGCGCAAAACCGCTGGTCTGCTTTAAAGAATGGGGAAAAAACAGATACAGTTATAGGAAATTAAAGTCTGTATATGATGAAAATTTATTCGTGTCCATGATGACAGATAAGCCCAGGCCATGACTCACGCAGCTTATCTGATCTCAGCATTGCTCGCTCGCAGGGAGGTTTTGGGCCCAGCCGGTGCTTGGGTGAATGCACCCGCACACGAGCAGCGGGCAGATGCTCCCCCAGGACCTCCTCAGCGTTGGGCAGCAGCATGGGAACCACCCTGGAAGGAGGCCTGTGGGGCTTTGCCGGCCTGCGTTTGGGCAGGGATCTCTCCTCTCCCGGTGGTTTTGGCCGGCTCTGGGTTGGGGTGCAGCTCCCAGAGCAAAGCGGGTGTGCGGGTGCCAGCAGCGGGGTGCCAGCACGGGTCTATTGCATCGCTCCAGACTGATGCTGACTCCGACTCTCCCGGTAAAAGGCTCCCACCTATTGGTTATGCTGCACAACTTCAGCTGGCTGAGAAATTTGCACATCCATCCCTCTCTCTTTGCCAAGCAGTGTCAGGTTGGCACCTTGCTGGCATTATCCTGACCTTTGACGGGGATGTGCCACGGAGGATTTAGCTTGGATTTAACCCAGGAAAGATGCAACTGGGTGGGGGAAATGCTTCAGTCTGCAAATATTAACCTACATTGCTGCAAGCTGTCCCTGTGGCCATCTGGCCTTACTGTGGCTGTAGGAGACAGCGGAGGGTTGGCAGGAGCTGCAGGGGGGAACCACCAAGGCCTGAGCATCCCCAGGGACAGCTTTGCCCTGTGCCGTGTGTGTGTGGGAGCACCCGTGTGCAGAGTCATGGGATGGGTGATGGTGATGCCCAGCTGGCGGCAGAGGACATAGCAATGCTGTGCCTGCAGGGAAAAGCCTGGATTATGCTTGAAAATGAAGTGAGAAGGTAGTGTTTTATAATTAGATATCTTATTTAAGAACTCTGAAAAACCTTCTACAAAGTTTTTGGTTTAAAGACAGAATAATAAAATAACCCAATTTGACCCATAGATGAGGACAGCTCAGCTGAAAACTGCCCAGGCGTTTGCTCAGGCTCTGCAGGCACTTGTACAGCTCTTCTCCAAGCCCTGTGCAGCCCCTGCTGTGAAATGGCCAGTCCCTGGGAGCGGGCAGCCGCTGCTGGGCTGTGTGACCAGGTGGTGGGGGGGCTGGGGTCCCTGTGATGGGGCTGGGGTCGGTGTGATGGGGCTGGGGTCCCGGTGAGACTGCTCTCCCCTCCGTGGCAGGCTGGGGCTTGATGCTAATCCATCTTCCTAGGGGCACAGCCCTCCATGTCCAGCAGCTCAGGCCAGCCGTCGTATTTATTTGTATTCTTATCATTTTTGATGTGCTGTAGGAGAAAAAAGAGAGAGGGAATACGAATGAGGAGGTTGGTGGCACGGTGCAAGTTTACAACACGGCAAAACTTGCAGCTTGGCTTGACGTAGGGGATAACACCACTGGCCCATGTCTTCTGCCGACAGGTAGGTGTGAAGTAGCTCGGGAGGTGCTATGAAGAGGATGGGAGCCTCCAAAGCTGGTGGCAGGGGAGGGCCACGTACTTCTTCAAAAGGGCTCTTGTTCTTCATCCCTTTTGCTCCCAAGAAGACCCAGTTGTCCCGGAAGCCCAGGTTGCTCACATGGCTGCTGCCCAGCTCCACAAAATGTGCTCGTACTTTGTCGTTCATCCTGAAAGAAGGTAAGAAGATGTTAGTGTGGTGCCAGGTGGGTGTCCCCTCCTGTCCCCTCTCTGCTGCTGGCAGCAGCACCTCCAGCTCCCCCAGCTGCTGGTTTTGGGGAGCCCTGCATCGCTCCCAGGACCAAACTCACTTTGTGGAAGGGTCATCATAGCTGGCTGTCAGCACAATGGTGCCAGGCTTGATCCCTTGGAGGAAGGTATCCAGTTTGTTAATGTCTGGGAGAGAAGAGCATTAGGGAA